GAGTGTTTTGAGGGAGATTAATGGCAATGTGTCTTTTACTGTAATAATTTTTTAAAAAGATTTTATTGGAAATTGGGAGAGGGGAACAGCATTGGGGAATTGGGGAAGGGGAACAGACAAGTTGCTGTCCTTTTTGTTCTTCAGTCTATTTGTAGAGGACATCGCTTCACTGGCCCATGTTGGTATTATCATTGCGCTCTTCCTGGGTGAGGCAGTGTCTCGCTGGCCATTGGATGGCCACTCACGGTGGCTCATGGCAGCTCACAAAAGTGCACCCCAGCTGCCTGCCAGCCCCACTGCAGCCTACACCTTCGCTTGGCAACTCATGGCAGCCCAGCTCCAGGTCAAGCTGTTGTTCACCATTCTTAACTGTAGAGGGCTCAGCATCACTGGCTCACATGTGGGATCCGAACCGGGGCCCTGCTGCTCAGAGCTGGCAGCCCAAGCCAACTCCTAACCAATGCGCCACTTGGCCAGCCCATGTAATAATTTTTTTTAATTAAACATTCACTATATTTTTTTATCACACCTTGTACTGTTCCTTTCCTGTGCAACTTCATAATTTCTCTCAAGTTGTTTTATTTTTGTTAGTTTTTATTGTTCCTCTCCAAATGTCTAGATATTTTAAAACATTAAGATTTGATTAGTTTTCTCTTCTGGAAGTCATCTCCCCCAGAGCCTTCTTACAGGCTCCATTTTGTACTGGCTGCTTTTTTGGCCTGCTGTACAAGCTGTCATTCTTGGATCTCCCTTCAATATCCTCCTGCGAACTTCCTTTCCTCTCTACTGTGTTTAATACTGCTTCCTAGATCCCCTGTTTACTCTTTTTTTGATTTATATGTTCATTTTTGGTGAGACATATCCTAGTAAAGGGGCATGTAAGAGACAAATTTTTTGAGACATCACATTTCTGAAAATGAGCCCTCATACTTAATAGTTCAGCAGGTATTGAAGAGTAGGTAGAAAATAAATTTTCCAAAGAATTTTTAAAGATATTTGCTTAATTTTCTTCTAACTTACAATGTTATGGTTCAGAAGGCTGAAGACCTTCTGATTTTGACACTGTCTATGAAACTACTTATTTTTCTCTAAAAGCTTCTAGGATCTTTTATTTCCCCTCAATATTCTGTCATGTCACAATGATGTGCTTTAATTTGTGTTGTTTTCATTCACTGTGCTAGGCATTTAATGTGTCCTTTCAATCTGGTGACTTCAGTTCTGGAAAAATTTCTTAATTTACTTCATGGATGATTTATTCATCCTCCATTTTCTTTGTTTTTTTTTTTTTTTTTTTTTTTTTTACTGGAACTCTTATTATTCAAACATTGGACCTCTTGGACTTAATTTTTCTTTCCTATTTTCCATCTAATTGCTTTTTGCTCTACTTTCTGAGAAGTTTCTTCCACTATACATTCCAAATTTTCCATTGCATACAAAGGTCTGACAATTAAGTCCATAAACTCATCCTAGAAAAAGTGTTACATACCTCATTGCTGAATACCACTGTGGTCACATTCGAAGTACTCCCCTTGGGAAGCTATGCACCAACACCAGTGTCTAGTCCACCCTTCAAAGCAATTTTGGAACTGTTTTACTGAAATGGCCAACAGGACTGTCCTTGTATTACCCTTGATGTCTTGAATGCCATCAAAATGTCTTCCTTTCAACATGTCCTTTATCTTTGGGTAAGAAAGAAGTCATTTGGGGCCAGATCAGGTGAGTAGGGAGGCTGTTCCAATACAGTTATTTGTTTACTGGCTAAAAATTTCCTCACACGCAGTGCCATGTGAGCTGGTGCATTGTAGTGATGCAAGAGCCATGAATTGTTGGCAAAAAGTTCAGGTTGTTTTCATCTAACTTTTTCATGCAGCCTTTTCGGCACTTCCGAATAGTAAACTTGGTTAACTGTTTGTCCTGTTGGTATAAATTCATAATGAATAATCCCTCTGATATCAAACAAGGTTAGCAACATCGTTTCAACAAGTTCTTGAATTTAGTTGTCAGACCTCATATTTACTTTCTGCTGCCATATTTCTAATTTCCAAGAACTCTTTTAAATATCCTTTTCTTGTTCCATTGATGCAATATTTTCTCTAATGTATACGAGGATACTTCTCCTGGCATGCTGTTTCCTTCTGATTGCTTTTCTTCGTTTGATTTCTGTCTTTTATATGCACGTTTTCCTCAAACGTCTGATGATCCTCAGCTGTTTTCTCATCTTTAAGAGTGGGATACCATGGAAGCTTTTTCTGTGAGATTCTCTCCAGGGTGATTTTGGCTTTGCTTATGTTTGGGCTCGTCAGGTCCCTAAAAAAGACTCTTCCAGTCTCCTGCCTAGAGGGTCTGGCTGCCCACATTCTGGGAGCCCAGAAAGGAAGAAAGCTGGTGATATCAATATTCAGTGTACAATTTTCCACTTAATCTCCCTGTTTTTAGTACTGATAACTGACCTCAACTTTTGTCCTCAAGTTGAGTCTTTGTTTGTGTGGAGGATGGGCTTCATTTCACTATTGAGAGTAGGACAGGAGATTTGGGGTATTCCTGTCTTTCAACTAATCTTCATGTTTTCAGCATCACCTCCATTTCCTCTTCCAGAATTACCTATTATTCCTGAGACAGCCTGGGGTTCTGTGGTACAATTTTTTTTTCTGTGTTTGTTTTCTTTTCCTGTTGCCAGTTTAGGATTGAGATTCTCAGGCTTAGTTAGATACTACTCATTCATCTCCTTTCTTGCTTCAAAAACTTTGTTGCTGGTGTCCTTCCTCCTTTTCTCTTTGCCTGTGCTTATTTCATTTGCCATCATTTTAGTGGGGCTTGGGGAAAATTAAAGGTGTTCGACTTATTATTTTAACTCAAACCAAATCACTATATTTACTACATGTATCTGTCTTTTCCATCAAATGTTGAACATTTCAATATTGTATCCCAAATGCCAGTATGTTTCAATACATTTTTATTGAATTAACTAAATAGATTAAAAGAGACTAATTTCTTGACTGTGGTTTTCTGAATGAATAAATGGGTTGAGTAGGCTGGCTTTTGTCACATAGGAGAGGAAATCCAGTGTTTAGGTCTGATGCTGAGATCTCTAGTTTGTAATGGGCATACTAGTATACAATTGTTCTATTTTTCATAAAACCCCAGGGATTTCATTAAGTTAAGCCCAGACAATCTAGCATTTTAGAACCAAGTAATTAAAATGGACTTTGAGAGCTCATTTAGTAAATTTCTCTTCCTCTGGATGAATGCACTATTATTAGTCCAATATAGTACCAAGAAATGGGGTTAGCTCATAGTAGGAGTTTAGATATGTTTGAAAAACTGGAGAATATCAATTCTCTAACTCAATATTATACAAAGACAGATAAGATAAAGAGACAAAACAAAACAGTATATCTTCTAAATTCTTAGACACTAATTACCACCCATCCCTCTGGAGGTCCTGAGGCTACCCTTTGTGTTCTCTGCCCTTCTCTTCTGGTCAAGAGAAAGCCAAAACCCAGAGGAGAGGAGGGCACATGATCACAGCTGCAGGAGAGCCCTGGTGGATGACGGGTCCAGCACCTGGGATCTCTCTCCTGACTCCTTCTATCTCTCTACCCACAGAGCTTGAATAAGGGGCTACTATTAGATCTCCTTACTGTCCCAAGTTTCTTGCTATTATGATAGGTTACTACCTTTACATAATCATGCGATTTTAATATAAAATATATTAAAATAGTTTTTAAGAAACCTCTTTGGAAAGCCTTTATCCAGCTTTAATAATTATCAACATTTTACCGATGCTGTAAAATCTTTTCTTGGCATCCCAAACTTGTTCACTTTTAAAAAAATGTTTGCTGAAGTAGATTAAAGCAAATTAGAGACAGCATATCATTTTCATTCATAAATACTTCTAAACAATCTCTAATTGTTAAGAATGCTTTTCTTTTACCCTTTTTCTTTATAGAAAACTATAATGCCATATTATCATAACCTAACAAAATGAACAATTTCTTAATATTATCTAATATTCCAACCATATTCAAATTTCCTAGATTATCTGAAAAAAAATATTTTTACGGAAGATTTGTTTGAATAAAGAGCCAAATAATGCCCACTCATTGTATTTAGTTCATATATTTCCTAAGTCCCTTTTAACTTGTAATGAAAACTTATTATTTGACTTATGTGCTGTAAAAATGAAGGTAGGCTTATAAAAGGTTTTGCTCTGTGCAGTGTCACAGCTTTATTTTAATATGGCACATTTCCAAAATTTTAAGTGCTTCTGAGGCATGTTTTTCATGGATATGTACTGGCCTAGTGCTTCTATTAGTGAGGTTAGAATTAAACAGTTAGTAATTTACAATATAACTGCATTCTGCCTTATTTACTGATGCAACTAATCAAACTTTGGAGCTAGTTGCTTATTAGATTTGTGTATATTTTAAAATGTCCCTGTTACATTAAAAATTATAAATCCATACTATAGATTTCAATGATGATGCAATTATATATATGGAAACTAAGTTTGGTAATAAGTATATGCATTAGGTATTATTTTAGAAACACTTTCAAGCAGTTTATTTCAAATGGTAGTACTTGAGTAGGAATAAGAGAATCTTCTGAGGGCAGGATGTCTTGATCAATAAAGACAGCTATAAAACCCAACATTTCTGGTCATTCTTCTATTTCCACCTGTTCATGTTTTTAAATTTCTCCTTTAGTCCTACAACCAGGCATTGTTACCCTTCTCTCTCCTATTTATCCTCATATTCACATTATAAACTAGGTCTCATTTCATTCTTACAATAGCTTTTATAGGTAGTAGCTCTGTTTTGTAGATGTGGAAACTCAAGTTCAAAAGTTAGGTGAGTTGCTCAAGGTGGTTGAACTCTAAAATCCATGCTTTTGGCAGTGCTCACACTGCTCTCAGGATTATTTTTTGGTGACTGGGTCAGTTAAGGGAAGTCAGATCAACACCAAAGGAGGTTATGAAACATTTAAAACTGGATCAATACCTGCTCCATGGAATCCTCCGCAGACATATAGCTTCCCATCCACTGCTCCTGCATTGGTAGAATTGGTTCGAAGAGACAGCAGGGGACTTGGCATAGGTGGGCCCTCTCTCCAAAAGTCCCCATCAGGGTTATAGATTTCCACCACATCAAGGCACTTTCGAACCTGGCCCTTGTCTCGACCCATGCAGCCAATTCCACCTATAGAGAATGGTACACAGAAATGAGATGACTAAGAACTGAAACTTTATTGTGGATAGCACCCACTTCCTGCTATGGTTTGTATCACAGGTTTATGGGCCTTTGACTTTTTATTTCTTGCCTGGTGCTCCTTCTAAGATAATTTCTAAGCAATAGTGATCTACTACATACTATATAGCCAAATTTAATGTCATTTTTTAAAAGATTTTTTATTGGGGAATTGGGGGGATGGGAACAGTGCTGGGAAATTGGGGGAAGGGGAACAGACAAGTTGCTGTCATTTTGTTCTTCAGTCTAGGTGTGGAGGACGTTGCTTCACTGGCCCAAGTTGGCACCATCATTACACTCTTCCCGGGCGAGGCAGATCAGTCACTGGCTTCTGGACGGCCACTCACTGCAGCTGCTGGCTGCTCACGGTAGCCCATGGCAACCCACTGCCACAGGGGCTGCAGCCTACGCCGTTGCCGGCGACTCACAGCAGCCCAGCTCCAAGTTGAGCTGTTGTTCAGCATCTTAGCTGTAGAGGGCACTGTCACTGGCCCTCATATGTAGGATCTGAACCGGGGCCCTCTGGCGTCCCAAGCCAGTTCTTAACCATCGTGCCACTTGGCCGGCCCTTTAATGTCATTTTTATTCATAATGTTCCATCTGTTTGTTCTTATGCATGAAGCTGATCCCACTGCAGTCTTTATATTCTACAACATCCAACACTGGTTGACAAAATGAGCACCCACTTTAGAATAAGAACTCCAGGTTTTAATCTGAGGGTAACTTGACTCTGACCTCTGTCTTCTTATTGATCATTAGCAATGATTTCACTGATCTGGCTAGCTAAGGATGTGTCCTTTCCCTTTCTCTTCACTGCAAGCCTGTCTTTCCCTCTCTTCTTAAGTTGCATTGAATTGTTCTCCATTAATGAAGAGCTATTCTTTGGTAAATTTCAGCTTTGGGGGTCAAAGGAAGGCCCCAAACCCAAATGTCTAGTGCACCTTCCACTTTTGGATGATACAGTTCATTCAACAGATATCCACTGACTGCCTAATACATGCAAGGCAATGTGCTAAGTGAGAAGGAGTTTAAAAAGGTGAATAAGGCATGTTTCTTACAATTAAGAAATTAATGGGGTGTAAAGAGCCATGTATGTAAATAAATAGATAGAGGAGATCATGACAGGTACCTTAAAAGAGATACAAATTAGACTTAGAAGTACAGAGACTGTAACAAGTAACAGAAATATCATGTACTTAATTATGACATTAAGTATTAACCTCCTTGGGAAAAGTAATTGTGTAAGAATTTGTAATACACTGTAATGAGAAACACAAGTTTGTAGGTGATCTTTTAAATTTTCTATTCCAAAGTCCCACAATGAAAGTTCTTAAACAAAATGGCCATATTTCTTGACCTGAAGGATGGCTCCTGAGACTAAGGTGAATTCCCTGGAAGGAGCGACACTCCTGTACTTGTAGACACTCCTCTACTCAGTGATCTCATTCCGTGCAGACTCAATCTGATGACCCTGATCTGCATGACCAATCAAAAAGACTTTATCTTCTGAAGGGTGCATGAAACATTTTCCAAGATAGACTACCTGTTAGGCCACAAAAGAAGTCTCAATAAATTTAAGAACCTTGAAACCATATCAAGCATCTTCTCTGACCACAATGCTATAAAACTAGAAATCAATTATAAGAAGAAATCCTGAAAACATACAACTACATGGAGGCTGCATAACATGTTACTAAATAGTGAGTGGGTCAATAATGAGATCAAGGAAGAAATCAAAAGATACCTCAAGACAAATGAAAATGAAAACACAACAACCCAATATGGATGCACCAAAAGCCAAGGAAATTCATAGCAATGCAGGCCTATCTAAAGAAACAAGAAAAATCTCAAATCAACAGGCTATCTTTACACCTAAAGGAACTGGGAAAAGAACAGCAAAACAAGCCCAATGGGAGTACAAGGAAGGAAATAATAAAGATCAGAACAGAAATAAATGAAATAGACACAAAGAACAAAAAAATCAACAAACCCCCCAAAACAAAACAAAACAAAAGATCAATGAAAACAAGAGCTGCTTGTTTGAAAAGATAAACAAAATCGACAGACCTTTAGCCAGAGACTCACCAAGAAAAAGAGAGAGAGGACCCAAATTAATAAAATCAGAAATGAAAGAGGAGAAGTGACAACAGATGCCACAGCAATACAAAAAAATTTAAGAAAATACTATGAGCAACTCTATGCCAACAAATTAGACAAACTGGAAGAAATGGATAAATTTCTAGAAGCATACAATCTTCCAAGTCTGAATCAAGAAGAAACAGAAACTCTGAACAGACTCATTACTACCAAAGAAATTGAATCAGTAATCAACAAGCTTCCAACAAACAAAAGTCCTGGATCAGATGGCTTCACAGGTGAATTTTGCAAAACATTAAAAAAGAATTAATACCTATTCTCTTCAAACTACTCCAAAAACTACAGGAAAGGGAAGGCTCCCAAGCACATTTTACGAGGCCACTACTACTCTGATCCCAAAATCAGACAAAGACATTACAAGAAAATAAAAGTACTGGCCGATATTCTTAATGAACACAGATGCAAAAATCCTCAACAAAATACTAGCAAACCGGATTCAACAATACATTGAAAAGATCGTACACCACGATCAAGTGGGATTCATTCCTGGTATGCAAGTTTGGTTCAATACCTGCAAATTAATTAATGTGATACACCAGACTAACAAAATGAAAAATAAAAATCATATGGTTATATATCAATAGATGAAGAAAAAGTATTTGACAAAATCAAGCAGCCATTTATGATAAATCTCTTAGCAAAGTGGGAATAGAGGGATCATATCTCAACATATTAAAGGCCATAGATGATAAGCCCACAGCTAACATAGTACTCAATGAGGAAAGGCTAAAACCATTCCCCTTAAGATCAGGAACAAGACAAGACTGCCCACTTTCATCACTTTTATTCAACATAATTCTAGAAGTTCTAGTCACAGCAATCAGACAAGAAAATGAAATAAAAGGCATCCAAATTGGAAAGGAGGAGGTAAAATTGTCATTATATGCAGATGACATGATACTATATATAGTGAATCCCAAAGACTCCACCAAAGAACTATTACAACTGATAAATGAATTTAGTAAAGTCACAGGATGCAAAATTAATATTCAGAAATCAGTTGCATTTGTATATACCAATAATAAACTATCAGAAGAAGAAATCAAGAAATCAATCCCTTTTACAATTGCTTCAAAAACAATAAAATACCCAGGACTAAATTTAACCAAAGAAGTAAAAGACTTGTACTCAGAAAATTATAAGACACTGAAGAGAGAAATCAAATAAGATACAAATAAATGAAAATATATACCATGTTCATGGATAGGGAGAATTAATATAGTTAAAATGTTAATACTACCTAAGGCAATATATAGATTCAATGCAATTCCTATCAAACTACCAAAGACCTTTTTTCAGAAATAGAACATATAATCCTAAAATTTATATGGAACCATTAAAGACCCTGAATAGCCACAGCAATCTTGACAAATAAAAACAAAACGGGAGGTATCACGTTAGCCGACATCAAATCATACTACAAGGCTACAGCAATCAAAACAGTATGGTACTGGCCTAAAAACAGACACATTAGATCAATGGAACAGAATAGAGAGCCCAGAAATAAATCCATTCATATATGGTCATTTAATCTATGACAATGGAAGGAAGAATTAAATTGGGGTAAAGATAGTCTATTTAATAAGTGGTGCTGTGAAAATTGGACTAAAACATGCAAAAAAATGAAACTAGACCACCTCCTTACGCCATCTATGAGAACAAATTTAAAATGGATTAAAGACTTAAATGTAAGACCTGAAACCATAAAACTCCTAGAAGAAAATACAAATTTGCAGACATTACCCTGAATTATATTTTACTGATATATCCCCTTGGGCAAGGGAAATAAAAGAAAAAATGAACATATGCGATTACATCAAACTTAAGAGGTTTTTTCACAGCAAAGGAAATAATAAAACAAAAAGGCAGCCTACTGAATGGGAGAAGATATTTGCCAATGACATATTTGATAAGGGGTTAATATCCACAATTTATAAAACACTCATTCAACTCAACACCAAATAAACAAACAACCCAATTAAAAAAAGGGCAGAGGATATGAAGAGACATTTCTCTAAAAAGGACATACGGATTGCCAACAGACATATGAAAAAATGTTCAATGTCACTATTCATTAGAGAAATGCAAATAAAAACCACAGTGAGATACCACCTCATTCCAGTCAGAATGGCTATCATCAGTAAATCAACAAACAACAAGTGCTGGTGAGGTTGTGGAGAAAAGGGAACCCTGGTGTACTGTTGATGGGACTGCAGATTGGTGGAGCCATTATGGAAATCAGTATGGAGGTATCTCAAAAACCTGGAAATGGAACTACCTTATGACCCAGCATTCCACTCTTAGGTATCTATCCAGAGAAACCCAAGATATTAATTTGAAAAAATGTATGCACCCCTATGTTTATTGCAGCACTATTTATGATAGCCAAGACTTGGAAACAACCGAAATGCCCATCAGTAAACAACTGGTGTAAGAAGCTGTGGTACATTTATACAATGGAGTATTACTCAGCTATAAAGAAGAATGAAATCTTAGCATTTGCAATAATATAGATGGACCTAGGAAACATTATGCTAAGTGAAATAAGTCAGCTGTAGAAAGACACATACCATATGATCTCACTTATATGTGGAATCTGAAGAACTGAATAAATGAGCAAAGTAAAAGGAAATAGTCTCAGAGATTTAGAGGAAAAACTGATGGTTGCTAGATGGGAGGGGTGTGGGAATGAATGAGAAGGGGAAAAGATTAGACAGCATAAATTGGTAACTATAATATTGCCACAGGGATATGAAAGACAGTTCGGGAAATATAATCAATAATGTTGGTAAATA